GCGCCGCACTGTAGCAGTGCGCCACCGGGCCGGCCCTTAAAAAAAAAAGTCCAACACTGAGGTCCAGGGTTCAATCTCTGTACTGGCCAGCTTCCAAAAAAAAATTTTTTTTAAAAGATGACCTGTAAGGGGACCTTAACCCTTGGCTTGGTGTTGTCAGCACCACGCTCACCCGGTGAGCAATCGGCCATCCCTATATGACACTCCATGTGAAAAGGTAAAATATTTAAATAATTATTGGTTGATTTTAAAACTTTCTTTTTTCTTTTTTTTTTTTAAATTTTTTGGGGCCGGCCCGGTGGCGCACTCGGTAGAGTGCAGTGCTTGGGAGCACGGTGGCGCTCCCGCCAAGGGTTCAGATCCCATATAGAGACCGGTCTGCTCACTGGTTGAGCGCGGTGCGGGCGCGACACTGAGGGTTGCGATCCCGTGGCCGGTCACAAAAAAAGACAAAAAGGAAAAAAAAAAATTTGGGGGGGGGGCCGGCCCATGGCTCACTCGGGGAGTGTGGTGCTGATAACACCAAGGCTACGGGTTTGGATCCCATATAGGGATGGCTGGTTTGCTCACCGGGTGAGCATGGTGCTGACACCAAGTCAAGGGTTAAGATCCCCTTACCGGTCATCTTTTTTTTTTTTTTTTCCTTTTTGTCTTTTTTTTTGACCGGCAACGGGATCGCAACCCTCAGTGTCGCGCCCGCACCGCGCTCAACCAGTGAGCAGACCGGTCTCTATATGGGATCTGAACCCTTGGCGGGAGCGCCACCGTGCTCCCAAGCACTGCACTCTACCGAGTGCGCCACCGGGCCGGCCCCAAAAAATTTAAAAAAAAAAAAGAAAAAAGAAAGTTTTAAAATCAACCAATAATTATTTAAATATTTTACCTTTTCACATGGAGTGTTTGTGACTTTCCAAGTGTGCACTGCCCGAGCAAACAGGGGTTGGTGGGAAGATGAGGCTGCTCGTGCTTCTGGAGTGCATGTACCTGACCTGGACAGAAATGACATGTCCAAGAGGTAGCGTTCACTTCTCTTAGCGCATACTAAAGTCCACGGTCGTTGTCCTCTGGGGCAAGGGACAGGGTCTGTACTCATTCTCACTTTGTGATTCATCATACGACTGTCTAGACATGTATCATTCTTCCTTGAGAGTGGCATTTGGCTTTCAGCAAGCTCCTATTGAGCTGTGAATGAATTAAACAAACAATGCTGTTTCGCTTGGCCATAGCCGCACCAGGATGTCTTCATAAAAGATAAAGGGCAAAGACAGTTTCCCAGAAGGCCATGTGGGCCACCTGGCGGCTGAGCCCTTCTTCCAAAGCCCTCCTGTGTCCTATTCCTCGCATCTCAGATCCCATCCTTGTCCTCGGTTTTGTTCACTCAAGCTCTCCTTTTCTTTCTCATTCTCTGTCATTCTATTTTTGGCTACTTTTGGAAGACCTCATTCTCCTATGTGAGAAATGCCTTCACCTTTCCAAGGCCAAAGGATGGACACAGAGACACGAGGTACAGCGAAGTGAGACTTTAATTACAGCCCTATAAGGTTCAGGCGTCTGAAGGGCAGGCACACGGGAAAGGGCTGCAGCAAGCAATTTATTCCCTAGTATGCAAATCCCTCCCCCACCCCCCCACCCCCCGCTTCCTCGTTGGCTGGGTACTAAAGGGTGCACAATCTTCCTGAACGACTGCTAAAATTTATTACCCCCTTGCAAGGAATTCGTGTCTCTGGGGGCTCAGGACAAGCCCACACAAAGGGCCCCGCCTACGCCCTGTGAAGAGAGACACCGGGGAATGAAGAAAACAGTGGGAGCTAGTGACTAATCACCATCTCAAGGAGAGCCTTATCTGTTCAGAGACCCCCCGGAAAACGAAAGGGGCTAGGAACTAGTTACCATCTCAATACAACACCCTCAAATAAGCCAGATCTGAAAATGCATCACTTAGATTAGTTTCTTACATCCTACTTGTCCAAGCTAGAAACGAGGAGTTAGGACACTGGCTTCCAGATAGCGCCTCACATTTTATTCACCTTGGGGGATAAGTCCTTACAGATAAATCCCTTTATAACAAAGTCTGATACCTGTTAGAATGCAAATACTCCACAAGAGGGATACTACTTATTAGTTATTAGGAGAACAGGTCCTTCTCTAAAAACCTCTCTTTAGCTCCTCCAGAGAGAATCTCTCTCCCATAGCGCTCTGAATTTCATTACAGTCCTTACCATAATATGCAATATTTAATTGAATGCTGTTTCTCCCACAAGGATTTCCCAGAATGTCCTACAAACAGAAACAATACGTAGTGTTATGACTGGCTTCTTTCTTCTTACGTGGCATGATTCTTTTTGAGATTCATTTATGTTATTGTCTCTATCAAGTTCTCTTTTATTGCTGAGTAGTATTCCACTGTAGCGAAATACTAACTTTGGTATATTTTGGAAAACTAATGTTTATCCATTCACTAGTTGTTTCCAGTTTGGGGCAACATATGAGAGTTCTAGTTGTTCCACTTCCTCATGAAGATGTGGTATTGCCAGTTTTGAAAATTTTAGCCATTCTAATAGGTGTGTAGTGCTATCTCATGGTTTTAATTTGCATTTCCCTAATGACTAATGATGTTGAATATCTTTTCATGTGTTGATTTGCATCTGTGTATCTTCTCTGGTGAAGGGACTATTCCAATCTTCTGACCTTCTTAAAAATTTTGTTTTCTTCCTGACCTTGCCCTGGGGGTAGAGGGATTTCACTTCTATCCTTTCCCCTGCAGCAATTAATTTTTGCCTATCCTCTTTTGGATTTGGAATTTCTGAGTTTTGCTCCTTACCTGGGAGCACTGGATTTTTGCCTGTGTCCTGAGGGAAAGAGTTTGCTGCTTTTGCTTTCTAGGAGAGAAGGTGGGGTTTGTGCCTGTTCCCCAGCAGCTGGATGCCTGCCTCATGGAGGGGTCTCTCTCTAGCTTCTTTCCCAGTCCCCAACTTCCTTATGAAGAAAGATTTCAAGTGGAAGTTTATGGAAAAGGGCTTGTGAGTGAATGTGCACTCCCTCTGTATCTGAGGCCCCGAGCCCTCCAAACTGACATGCTAACCCACACTTCACCGTTAAGAATTCATTAAAATTTTAGCTTTCCTGTTGCTAACGTGCACGGCAACCCCTTCTTTCTCCTATGCTCTGCCAAAGATGAAGAGTTCTTGTGTTCCAGCTCTTTGGAAAGGTTTGCCTCTCTTGGAATTCAGCTTACTTGGTTGCCTTGCAACCTCAGCTCCCTGGTGGGCTTGAGAAGTTATGATTTTGTAGATTATCCAGCATTTTCTTATTGTTATGTTAGGAGTGATGTTCTTTGTACCTTTCTACAATTTAAGCCCATTCCACAAATCATTTTTGCTTTTTGGTGGCTGGCTGTTACAGGGATCGAACCCTAGGCCTTGGTGTTATCAGCATCACACTCTAGCCAACTGAGATAACTGGCCAGCCCCTCTCCCACTCCCCCCAAATCTTTATTAAATGCCAGACATTGTTCTAGGTGCTGAGGATAGAGAAGTAGACAAAATGGATCTGATCACAAGAAATTTATATTCAGTAGTGGGAAGACAGCTAGGATATTATAGTATTTGATGGTAATAAATTCTATGAAGAACACTTAAGCATGTGGGAGAGGACAATGATGGGCGTATAAATGATACGCACCCCACCTGCCTATTAGTGTAGATACCATCTATATTTCATTGCCCTTTTCTTCTTTTCCTCAGGAATCTTTATGGTGGAGAGTGAATTAGACAATATCCTGCCCTAATCTGACACATAAGTTAGTAAAATTTCAGCTCCAAATAGTAAATGGGACCACCATTCCCATTCCCATCAGAAAGGATCGGACTGCGCCTCATAAACATGCCAGGTGTTCTGTACAGGGCCAAACTAGTACCCAGCAGACACAAAGTACAGCGGTATACATTTCTGACTCGATAAGAGGAAAAACTTTCAACAGTCAGAGCCATCTGCAAAAGTAATGTACTGTTCTGTAAGGTAATAAAATCCCTTCCTTGGAAAAGTTCCAACCCTAGGTTTATGAGTCCACATTCCCTGCAACCTTCCAACTTCCCCTGAAGGTATGTATCTACCCAGGCAGGTTGAGCGAACATTCTTAGCCTCTCATAGTAGAAAGGCCACTGCCAAACGCTCTTCCAGGGCTTCCCTGGGCAGCCGCTCTCCCGTGCAGCTCAGGACAGATTCTTCAGTTCTAACTCCTTTGCGCAGATGTGCAAACCACGCTTCAGAGAAGTGGATCCACACTCACTATTGTCAAACACGAGCCTGCTCCTGAGTTCGAACCCCCGTGGCTAGTAATGTCCCGCAAAAGGTGGGCACAGCCCGAGGCGCTGGGGTTCACAGCCAAGCTTCCCTTGCAGGCTCATCAGCTGACTGCGCGCTCCCTGCCTCAGCGAGGGCTGCTATCTATCCCCCGACATTATACCCACGCGGATACTTAAAAAAAAACAATTTCCGGCACCGAAAGCTTCCCACCCAGGGCTTGGCCTTGGCTGAGGGCAGGAATTAAAAAACGAAGGCGACTAGGGAAAGTCCGGCGTCTACGCCACAGTCCTCCGTCTGTCGGGGGTCGGGGGACGACGGACGGGCCCTTTCCCACACGCCTCTGCTACTTGTCTCTGCCGCCCTCACGCGAAGGCTGTGAGAAGACCACGGAAGGAGTTCGTCGGGCGAAATGGCGGCCAACCCCCCGAAATGCTGGTGGCTCCTATGGCGGCACGCGTGAGACCACCAGGCACGTGCAAACCTGCCCCGCGTACCACCCGCCTGGGGAAGCGAACCCCTGAAGCGGGCCCGTGGACCTCCTGCGCACGCGCGTGCGATGCCGGGGGGCGGGGCTTAAGCAGGGCGGGGCCAACGGTGCGTCGTAAGCGAGGGCCCCAGGGAAGCAGAGCGGCGCGTGCGCCCGGGTGTGGGCGGGGCCTGGTTCTGTCGCGCAGCCCCGCCCCCTCATCGGTTTCCAGGAGGCGGCAGCCGCTCCTCGTCAGCCCTTCCCGGTTGGCGGAGCCAGCTGCACCCAGATTCTCTGGTGACGATGGGGGACCCCAGCAAGCAAGACATCCTGACCATCTTCAAGCGCCTCCGCTCGGTGCCCACCAACAAGGTAACGGCCTCGGGGCGTGTTCGGGCCTGCCTCGCACCGTTGCCGGACCCAGCGGGCTGCCCCTGCGAGCGCCAGCGGCCGCGGCGGCGGGAGGAGGAGCCGGCCCGGCCTGTGACACGTCGCACTGTGGGGCCGCGGCGGCCTGGGCCTCCCCGTGGCCCGGACGGCATCCTGCTGTACGGCCA